TTTTTTCAACGTTTATTTATTTTTGGGACAGAGAGAGACAGAGCATGAACGGGGGAGGGGCAGAGAGAGAGGGAGACACAGAATCGGAAACAGGCTCCAGGCTCTGAGCCATCAGCCCAGAGCCTGATGCGGGGCTCGAACTCACGGACCGCGAGATCGTGACCTGGCTGAAGTCGGACGCTTAACCGACTGCGCCACCCAGGCGCCCCCATTGCATCTTTTGAAGGACGTGGATAGTATTACTTTTCACCTTGATTTTACCTCTGTCGAATGATTCACTAAGTCTCTGAACTTGGGCAAGTCTTTCTCTTGCTTTTAGCCATTTTATTTATAAAATGGGTTGAGGGGTGCCTGGGTGGCTCAGTCAGTCGAGTGTTGGTCTCTTAATCTCAGCTCAGGTCTTGATCTCAGGGTTATGTGTTCAAGCCCCGCGTTGGGCTCCACACTGGATGTGAAGCCTACTTAAAACGACAACAACAACAACAGTGGGTTGAAGCAGGTGATCCCTAAGTTGTCCTCGAGCTTTTAACCTGTGACCAGCCATCTGTCCTGGTGCTTAAGCAGTCAGACGCCTGGTCTCGAACCCTACCTAGCTCCATCGTTTTTAAGCTATGGGAACTTGGGTATGTTATTTAAATTGTCTGTGCTTCAGTTTCCCCATATGAAAATGGGAACCTACCTCATGGCTTTGTTGTGAGGATTAAAAATGAGTTAACACATGAAGGTGTGTTAACCGACACTTAATAAGGACTCAGATTTATTCAGTTTCTCGCTGGAACCGGTCCTAAAAATGGGGACTCGTTTACCCTCAGAAAGGTAGGTGATGGGAAGAGTTTTGGAAGTGACGAAATGGATACAAAGTTAAACCTGTGCATGGTCATTGCACATTCTGGAACCCTCCAAGACGTTTCCTACAGTTGTCACTTCCTGGAACATCAGTTGAAAACCACTGCACCCGATGGTGTTGCTTTTGTATTCCTTTCGTTGTCCATTCCTCCGTGGATTAAAACACTCGCCGATCATCCCAGTCTCAAAAACTTGTTCCCGTGGTCCTGCTGCCTCTTTTCCCTTTAACGTAGTAGCTTCCTTAATCGCAGTAGGTTCAGCCACAGTTGTTGTAAGGAAACTTCTGAGGCTTTTGGGGGAGGCCTGATGTGACGGGCACCGCCGGGAGCCCTGCGTGCCCTGCCTGCGGTGCTCTTCCCGGGGTCATGGATTGCCCTTGTTACCTTCGAAGTGGCAGCCCTTGGTGCTCTTAGTCACCTCCTCCTCAATCCCCCATCTCTTGGCTTTTGGATCCTTCCTTGTCCGACATTCTTTAACACTAGAACACACGTGGCTTTATTTGTGGGGAAGAGCCTGCACAGAGTGAAGGCGACTGACTTGGTGCTGGCCCCTCCCAGGGCTGAGGGGAGCAGTATCTTGGGGCAGCAGCTGGGAAACGGTCCTATCTAATCTCGCCTGCTGGCACTGGCTGCTTTTCCCGTCTTTTCGTTTCTAGGTGTTTCTCAAGGCTCAGTCCCTGACTCTGCTCTTCTCTGCACACCCACCCTCAGGGAGTGTGTTCCTTGTCATACATCACCTTTCCTCTTTGCTGCTTCCCGGACTACCTTGCGTCCCTTTCTCTGAGTTCCAGTTCACTGTCATCAACTGTCTGCTCAGCATCTCTTGCCCTACCCTCTATCTCAGGTCCAACACATCTGGACCCGTTGCCTCTTCCATCCCCCACCCTGCAACCCATGCCCCACACCTGACTTCTTTCTCTTCTCCAGCCCTTTCTCAAATTTGAAACGCTGACATAATCTTTCATTTGTTTCTCTCCTTCATTCTCCATATCCTTATCAGCTATGCCTAGCACATAAATGTCCCTGTGTAGCCTTGGGTGAGTTCCTTAACTGCTCTGTGCCTCAGTTTCCCCAACATAAACTGGGCAGTAATAGTACCTGCTTTATAAGTCTGTGAGGAGCATGAGCTAATTCATGACAAAGAGAATGCTACCTTGCACACAATAAGCACTCAGTAAAACATTAGCTATTGTTTTAGGCCATTGGGTCTTCATTACTCACCTTATGAAAGTTCCATCTTTAAGTTCCCTACTGCCAAGTTCGTAGAGTAGGTCTTTTTTACTCTGCCTTTGCACTAGTTACACCAGCCTAGTTGGGGTAGGAATGTGGGTTTTGAGTTGGAGGAGTGATTGTAGTTTATGTGGTTTAACATGCTGACACTTGGTCTCCACTACTAACGGGGTGTCTGGTGTATGTTTTGTCACCTCCCGTTAAAATAGGCTCACTATGGAGCACCTGGGTGGCTCAATTGGTTAAGCGTTCTATCTCCCCTTCTCTCTGCCCCTTACCTGCTTGTGCTCTATCTCGAAATAAATAAATAAACTTAAAAAATTAATGAATAGAATAGGCTCACTACTTCCTCAGAGGATCTGTCATTTTTGTCACCATCTTACACTATTCTTGGTGTTAAAGAGCAGTTCTAACTCACATGACAACACTTCACATATCAGAACAGCATTACCTTGGTACCTTTCTCTATCCCCTGACCCCCATCAGTCCTGTCTTTAGACTAAACATCTCTGATTCTTCCATCCATTTTGTATGATTTCAGGTTCATGCTGGTTAGCCTTCCCTGAATAGTCTAGTTTGGGGTTGGTTGGTTGGTTTGTTTTGAAACATGGCCCCTCCATCCAGTCTGATCAGCCTTAGAAAAGTAAGGCTGCCTTCTCTACTTCTACATTTCCTTTGATGCCCTTGGTGTTCTGTCCACCCTTGCAGCTGCCTGAGTAATCCTCCAGTCTTGTCTTCTCCACGTGCTCAGAAACTGTCAATGGTCTTTATGTCCCTCCATGTCAAAGAGTAACCACTTGCACTTGATTTTCAAGATTTGCTAATCTGACCCCATTTTCCCTTCCTATTGCCCTTCAACGTATCTCCTTTGCTTTTGATTGAATAGACTGTCTTACTGATCTGGACCAACCTGTGGACCTTCCTGCTATCAGACCTTCCCATACGGTTTTCCCTTTGTCCTCTTTTTTGCCTCCCCCTTCCCCAACTACTCTTAATGGCTCAATTCCCATCTTTTTCCATGAGCTTTCTTTACTACCTTAAGCTCCTGAAATGTTGACACTGTTAGGATCCATCTCCCCATTAATTTACATCTTTGTATGCCTTTCATCAATATTTTATTATCTTCTCAATAATAGTCTTGTACCTTGTTTTTTATATGTATATTTCCAGGTACTTTTTAGTTGTTCTGAGTGGCATCCTTTTTAAAATTACATTTCCAAATTCATTGCTGATGTATAGAAATGCTAATTTGGGTGTATTGATTTTTTTAAATGTTTGTTTGTTTATTTATTTATTTATTTATTGAGAGAGAGAGAGAGAGAGAGAGAGAGAGAGAGAGAGAGAATCCCAAACAGGCTCCACGCTGTCAGCGCAGAGCTTGACGTAGGGCTCGATCCTGTGAACCGTGAGATCATGACCTGAGCCGAGATCAGGAGTCTGACGCCTTACCAACTAAGCCACCCAGGTGCCCCTGGTGTATTGATTTTTGTATCTAGCAGTCTTCCTTATCTTTTAACTCCCATAGTTTGTACATTCACTTGGAAGTGAATCAGTGAATGCCATACTGTGAAGGCAGTCTTACCTCCATTGAAGGCAACAAGGACAATTTTGTGCTCTTTTCCAATTTTTTTCCGTAAATCAAGTTAGGACTTCCAGTAGTAGTAAGAGTGGATATCCTAGTTTTTTTTTCTGCTTTTAGTGAAAATGCTTCTGAGGTTTTAGTATGATGTGTTTCTGATATTTCCTTACAGATTAACGAAATTCTCTTCTATTTCTAGTTTAAGAGTTTTTATTATGATTGTCTATTGAATTTTGTCATGCTGTTTACCCATATGGTGATCAAGTGATTTTTCTCCTTTAATGTGTTCATACAGATGACATTAGATTTCTAATAGGAAGCACTTAAACTACGTGGCCCATTCAGACCATCATTTGGTGATGCGCTCTGTTTTGTTCACTGCACCTTCATGCGTTTTAGTCTTGTCTTTCTAGAGTAGACCATCAATTCCAGGGGAAGAAGCGGCGTACCTTATATTTAGATTTCCCAAGCACATGGCACTTAGGCAATACTATTTTATTTCATTTATTTAATTAGATATTCCTCTTCTGCCTGATGACTTCTCTCAGATATTCATAAGATACTTGAATATTTGAATCAGCTTCTTTGAGAACAGGCAGACTGGTTCTACCTGATAGACCTCTTTCCAGAATGTTACAGCTAACTTTTTCATGAATGTCCCAATTTAATTTACTGGCTCAATTGAAGAATTAACAGCCGCCCCCCTGCCACCTCCCCCGCCCCGCCCCTTCTTTCTCTAAGGAAAATTGAGTATAAAATCTAGCTTACATCTTAAAAATGCACTTCTCTGTGGTTGCAGTAGAGAAGCCATAGGTTATATCCTCAGCAGAGTTTTGTTTTAATGGATAGAATGTGGGTTTTATTATTACTTGAAGCAGCTGTGAAACACAGTTGATAATTTCTCCACAACAAGTCTTAAATGTTTAAAGACTAAGCTACAAAAAGGTGGATTTTTTTCTTGCCTCCTTGAAATGGAGCAGTCTTCAGACAGGTTCTCTAGGTGTGTAGATTAAACTGAGAAATCGGGGCACCTGGGTGGCTCAGTCGGTTGGACGTCTGGCTTCGGCTCAGGTCATGATCTCCTGGTTCGTGAATTGGAGCCCAGCATAGCGCTCTGTACTGATAGCTCAGAGCCTGGAGCCCGCTTTGGATCCTCTGTCCCCCGCTCTTTCTCTGCTCCTTCACTGCCCATGTGTACTCTCTCTCTCAAAAATAAGTAAAAAAACATTAAAAAATATGTAAAAAGTAATTTAAACTGAGAAAATTATCAGCGTATCTTTTATTAATGCTAGATAATGTATACTTTTGCTTTTATTGTCAGTGTGTAGCTTTTCTCATCTGAGACCATAAAATATTTTTGGGTATCCTTTTGAATGCTAGTTGTAGCTATATTTGCTAAATAAAATGAGATTATTTCTATTATTATTTATTTTTAATGAGATTACTTTTAGGTTTCTGAAACCCTTGTCAGTAAATACGAGATGGTTCAGATTCTGTGTCATAACTTGGATTTGAAAATGTGATTTGATGAGTCCTCTTTCAGACTTGTTGGGTAGTGTTCAGTCTGGGTTACTGCCAGGTGCCATCCTCAGGTCAAAACTGTAGCTTTGTGTGCTGACAGACATAACTTTCTGATTGGGGAAGGGGTTGAGCAGCAAACGATAAGAGTCAGATTGCTTTGGAGTTTGCTTACTTGTTGTTAAGACTTCATGCTTCTTGATGTTGATGCACCCTTGTGACTAACCTGCTTATGTGTCCTTACATAAAAAAAGAGTTGATTTGCTGTGGTGTTCATATACAGAGCCACCAGGTGATGGCAGTGGTCCTCATTTTTTTCACTGTAACGTTTCCATTCTTTTTAAACATTTGTCCAGTCCGGAAACCTTGAAGTTGTCTTTGATTTCCTGTTTTATCCCACGTGGCTGATATTTTACCACATCTTATTGACGTTTAATATATTTTTTAAAATATTTATTTATTTTGGGGAGAGCACAAGCCGGGGAGGGGCAGAGAGAGGGGGACAGAGGATCCGAAGTGGGCTCTGCCCTGACAGGCTGACAGGCTGACGAGCCTGATGTGGGGCTCGAACTCACGAACCGGGAGATCATGACCTGAGCCCAGGTCAGACACTCATTCGACTGAGCCACCTAGGCACCCCGAAT